ACACTAGTCTACATGATTTTCAGAACAGATGCATCAGTGTTTATATATATATATATATATATATATATATATAATGTATTTTTTGTGATGAAATGGAAAGTGTGATTAGAAATTCTCTATATTGTCACATTATTTAGTTATTTGACTTTAAAGGCAGTCAGATGTTCTATCCCAGCTCATGTAAAAATGGCAAACTTTGACTTGTTCATCTTGTGGTACACAACATGTTTTTTATTTAATTTTTCAGTCTAAATAAATTTTTTACTTAAAGATTTTGTCAAAAAAATTTGTAAATTTAAAATTTCAATTTCAAAAGTCAACATTTTTACAATCGACATAAGCAAGCAGAAGTGTTAGGTTTACACTTAAATCAGTTGAATTTATTGCATAAGGATACCAGAGTCTCATTTTTCAGACATTGAAATAAGGATTTAATGAAATATTTCAATATGGTAGATCAGTTGTTCCTGTTGTGATATAAATGGTTTGATGTCTGAGTTGAGTATTCCTTATAAAGCTGATGATTGATGGTTATTTATAGATTTGCAAAAATGAGCTTAAAAGTAGTGCTACTGCATAATTCAAACAACAATCCTTCTATACTAGTAGTGCATGCTGTTGGTTTGAAAGAAACATATGAAAATATGTCATTAATTTTAAAAGCAGTCAATTATAGTGCTCACTTATGGAGTATCTGTGGCAACCTAAAAGTTATTGGTCTTCCTCTCGGACTGCAAGGTGGCTTTATAAAATACTGCTGCTTTTTATGTTTGTGGGACAGTCATGCAACAAGCGAACATTATATGGTTAAAGATTGGCGAAAAAGAGAGACTTTCACTCCTGAGCAAAACAATATTAACTATGTTCGATTAGTCAACCCTCGGCAAGTAATTTGCCCCCTTTACATATAAAATCGGGATTGATAAAATATTTTGTTAAAGCATTGAATAAAGAAGGACCAGGATTTAAGCATGTAAGCCAAGTGTTTCCTAGGTTAAGTGAAGCTAAATTAAAGGAAGGAATATTTGTTGGACCTCAGTTAGAAAATTACTTAATGATGAAAATTTTGACATGAAGTTGAATAACATAGAGCTAAAGACATAGAAATCATTTAAGGATGTAGGCCATTGTTTTCTTGGAAATAACAAAGCACAAAAGAGTGATATTTTAGAAAATATCTTTTGCTGAACTATAAAAATTTAGGCTGCCAGATGTCCTTAAAAATTCATTTCTTGCATTCTCATATGGACTTTTTCCCATCAAATTTGGGTGCAGTGAGTGATGAGCAGGGTGAACAGTTTAACCAGGTCATATTGCAAATTGAGCAGCATTACCAAGGGAAATGGGATGAATCAATCATGAGTGACTACTGCTGGTTTCTTGCAAAGAGAAGATCCTACTCTACACTGAAGGAAGAAGTGATTATTTGAATCCAGTTATAAAAAAAATTTCAGGTATTTTTTATGCCTGTTTTAGTTATGTTATACAACAGTTTTTTTATGTAATCAGCAAAATAAAACATGAGTATTGAAATTTAATATACCAATAAACTTGGTCACTGTGGGAAATTGCATTTTTCATCAATTTTTTAATGGTATATAATAAAAATGTGGTGGGTGATGGAGAAAAACTGGCTTCATTTTCAGATTCAGCGAACAAAAAAGAATAAAATTCACTTATTGCTGTTTCTGTTTCGAAATTTTTTTTTAATTTGTAGAGTAGTGTAATTACTTGTGATTTTTTTTTTTTTTTGTTAGTTAGCTGTCCATCTATTAAATGGAACTTTAAAAACACACAACAATAGGAAAAGTACTAGGAAAACAAAATAGTTTATAGTTCTTCTGGTACATCTATCTATAAATTGATGCAATTGCTCTGTTATATAATGGCAAATATGATGAGGTTTGCATACTGTAATTTGATATAACTAAAATAAATACAAAAAATGTGACTGAAAGTAAAATGTTAAAAGTTGAACAAGGAATTGCATGTTTTAAAGGGATTCTATTATTAGAGTTCTAAATACATATATATTTAAGCTTTCTGAAAATTTGAAATTAAAGTTTAAAATTTCATAGCACTTAAAGCTACTATAAAATATCACAAATTTTACAATTACAATTTATTATTAAATGTTGCTTAAAATTATTATTGTACTGTGTAAAATATCCATAGTCATATTGGGTTTTATAATTTAGGTTTTTCCGCTTTCAACACACCCATATGGCTGTCGGGTTATACAGAGGATTTTAGAACATTGTGTCAGTGAACAGACTTCTCCAGTTTTAAGTGAAATCCATCAACATACTGAAGAATTAGTTCAAGATCAATATGGTAATTATGTTGTCCAACATGTTTTGGAAAGAGGTTGTCAAGAGGATAAAAGTAAAATAGTGGCTGTTGTTCGGGGCAAGGTTTTACAGTTGTCTCAACACAAATTTGCCAGGTATCAATCTTTAAAATGATAAATATAACATTAAATTAACCAATAATTTGATATTAAAATAAAATTTTTTTATTTAATGTTTATGCAGCAATGTTGTGGAAAAATGTGTTACTTATGCCTCTAGAAATGAAAGAAATATGCTGATAGAAGAAGTGTCTACTTTAAATGATGGGTGAGATTAACATAATTTTTTGTTGGTATATATAATTGGTTATATTTGTTAAGTCTATGAACAGGATTTTTCTGTATGTTAGCAACTTTTGATAATGCAATGAATAAAATATTAAAAATATATAAATTTATGTATGTACCCAGTTTCTCTTTCTAATATTTACATTGGAAGGAGAAATTAGGCAAAAGTTTTATTTATTCAGAATTAATTCACATAAAAAATAATTTTAATTAATTAATAATAATTCATTTTGAGGGAAAACTACAGTTACTTTTTAATTCGAGTTCTTATTTGATTCACCTTTAGAAACACAGTGAATCAAATAAAATATAAAGGACACATAATCATCATCTTTATTTATTAATGGCCTTATCTATGTAGATTTTTATTATGTATGAAACATTGATGTGTTTGTTGCCAGCTGATTTAATTTTCTATGGTGTGACTTTAGTTAAAATTTTATGTCAATCGTATACTGGAATTTTTGGTGAATGGTACCATGTTATTTTTCAGATTTTATTACTATCTAGAAGTGTGAGAAACTTATATTTTTCTCAGATTATATTTTATTGCTTGGTTTCTTAGTTTTCCAGCAAAATATTTAATTATAGTGGTGTTTTATTATTCATATTCTTGGGTAGGTGATAACCAAGAAACCAGCAAAAGAACTCTCTGAAAAAGCAAATGTTTTCTTCCAGGCAAACATTTGCTTTTCAAAGTGAGTTTTTTTTCTGGTTTTTTGATTATTGAGTAGAACCAACATTAACATTAATCTGTAATTTTTTGTTGTTTTTTAATGACTCAGTTTTGCATCATTGCATATAATTTCATAAAGATATAAAGATTGAATCAAAATAATAATAAAAATTTGAATCATAAAAAGTGACTTATTTTATGGAAAAAATTGGTGTATCTGGTGGAATTTTGCATTATAATATGTGGCACTGAATGTATCAAGCTTTACTTATCACTTCAAATTTTTTCAAAACTTACAAATATATCATAATGTTTATTTTTTTCTGTTTATAATTCAGATATTGTACATATATATTTAATAATTTTCTTAACTAATTTGCATTAAAATTATATTGATTTATGATTGACATTGCTTTATTTAATCAATTATGTACATTAATTGTCAGATTATTTTAAGGCAATTTTTTAAATACAGTATGTTAAAGAACTCATCAAAATAACTTAATATGGATAAAAATGTCTTTCTCTTAAAGAGCCAGGGGTTTTTTTATTTATATTGATAATTTTTTTATTTAATGTTTATGCAGCAATGTTGTGGAAAAATGTGTTACTTATGCCTCTAGAAATGAAAGAAATATGCTGATAGAAGAAGTGTCTACTTTAAATGATGGGTGAGATTAACATAATTTTTTGTTGGTATATATAATTGGTTATATTTGTTAAGTCTATGAACAGGATTTTTCTGTATGTTAGCAACTTTTGATAATGCAATGAATAAAATATTAAAAATATATAAATTTATGTATGTACCCAGTTTCTCTTTCTAATATTTACATTGGAAGGAGAAATTAGGCAAAAGTTTTATTTATTCAGAATTAATTCACATAAAAAATAATTTTAATTAATTAATAATAATTCATTTTGAGGGAAAACTACAGTTACTTTTTAATTCGAGTTCTTATTTGATTCACCTTTAGAAACACAGTGAATCAAATAAAATATAAAGGACACATAATCATCATCTTTANGGATTGTGGGATCTCTCTAATGACTGGATCTAGTTTCAAGAACCTTCTATAGTCGATCGTGATTGAACCTCATTTCAGTCGAGAGAGGTCGCACCAAGGCATAGTCACCAACCTTGGTCACAATCTAGATCGAAATGTTTGGTGCGGAGTATAAGGAATTTAGTTCATTTGTGTTTTAATTTCAAATTTTGTTAATTTTTCTAAGAATAAATTAAATTAAAAATGCTAAAAATAATTTTTTTAAACTTGTGTAAGATGATTTTGTTTTTGAATTATCATTTTTGTAATGTTTAAGGTTATACTAATAAATGTAAAAATATGTATTTATTTATGGGAAAAAACATTCAAAATATGTGCTTTCGTATGTACTATTAGAACAATGAAAATTTTCTGTATTACACGTTGTGGTCTGTCACAACATACATTTTAATGTTTCCAAACACACAGCTTTGCCTATTGTCTCTAAGAATGGTTTTGTATCTAGAGAAACATTTCTCTATATCACATGTCACCATTGCATACTTGAACATAGTGATATCTACTGTATTATAATCAATTTTCAAACCGCTTATATGAAAACCTTCTTCTTTCAAAATCTTTGAAATATGATGTTTGGTAGCTTGAGTTTTTGTTTAGCACTGTTATCTGTTTCCCGTGAATTTTCTTTTCCAACTCACCTTCTCCCCTCCAAAGTTAGTCATGAAATTCTTCCAAGAATTGCATGTAGTCAGCTAAAGGGTCATCTGGGGGTTTTTCAAATGCCTTTATAGTCCTAGCCAGACAACTGAAGTTCAATGATATATGCACAAGCTGTTTGGCTAGACCTGCAGTTTTGTATATACCATTTAATGAGTCCAATAGTCATGGCATCATCTGGATCTAAGATGTCCATAATATCCTTGATCTTGTCAAAGTGCTCTACATAGAACTGAGCTGTTTCTGTTCATGTCCACCATCTTGTTAATATTTGCTTTGGAGTAAGAGATTGGGTTGCATCTGCATAAAAATGAGAACTTGTTGGGACACCTTTGTGAATACTTTTTTCATATTTGTGAACATGGAATCTGCTTTCTTGCAATGTGACGACAATTTCCATGCCAGTTCATGTAGTGCATGAGAAAAGTAAGTAACATGCAGCATTTTGGGATAGATAAATTGTAACCCTATGCCATTGTTACTACATATGTGATGGCTGCATCAGTCATAAGGACTATTTTCATATATTGATTTGACCAGAGAATTTTATATATTTGAATTAAAAAGTCTTGCTATTGTCAAATGGATTGTAGCTTGAGCATTTTGGTGTGCAACAAATAAATTTCTCCAAGAAAATCTTTTTCAACAGTTCCAATTATCATGTTGCCAATGAAATGATTAATTGAAAGATACCCAGTTTTTTCCCTGTTTCTAGTACTATTTTAATATATCAATATTACAGTCAGGCATGAAATTTTTCCTGAACATGGATTTGTGAGACAAGGATGTGTTGCAATATTTTATATAAATTTTTGGAATACTGGATCCTTGAGTTTGTAGAAAATACATCCACTGCTATGAAATCTGATGTCAGGTTTTTGAAAAACAGACTACTTTTGGCTTGTTTGAAAATTACTATTTCACTAGAAGACTGTGTTTACAGAATCGATCTACAGTGCAAGGATGCTTCCACATGTTTCTTAGTATTTGGGTGTTGGATTACCTGTCATCACTGATCCATTGTTACAACTATATTGCAAATATGACACAAAAGAACTTTTCTATCAGTGCTGAAGACATTTTGATCAAACTCTTTTAACGTATCTTTGTGGTTCAAATTTTTTGAATTTGCTATTTTAGGCATTGTGTTTTCTTTCTATGGTTTTCACTAGTTAGAATTAACATGCAATATGCATAGAAATATGTGGAAGTGTGACAGAAAGACAGCTATTTTGAATCATTTACTTGGGCTATAAATATGTACTATGTAAGACTGGATTAATTAAGTGCAATGCATGTAAAAAGTTGTTGGATATTTCTGGTATTTTTACATACATTCTACTTGGACTATGCTCAATATTTCACTAAGAGAGGGAAGGAAAGATTATTTTTTTTATAAATTTTAACTGCGTTTTTTATGTTAATATTGAATGATTGCCAGATTATATCAGATGCCTTCTGTGGATTAATTTAATAATTATAACCTAATACCTACCCTGTTCCTAGCAGAGATAGGTATTAGGTAGGAATAAATATATAGGAATATGTAGAAGTAGGAGTGTATAGGAACAATCTAACTATTTTATTATTTTATAAATTATCTATCTAACTAAAATATTCTCAAAATAACATTAAACTTTAAATTAACTGTGGGTCAGCATAGATTTGTTTTTGAAAAACCAGAGTTATAATAATGAACAAAAATATAATTGAACTTTCTACAGATGGCACCTAACAGTTACCTCTAGGTCAAATTACTTAACATTTAATTATTAATAGTAGTAAAGTAATATTAATATAGCCTGATGTAATCTGGCAGTCATTTGGTGTTCATCTTAAAGATCAGGTAAAGTCAGTGGTTCCCAAACTTTTTTGATTCTCTGCATTTATTACAGTATTTGAAGAAATATATAAATATTGACAAAAATGACTAATTTATATAGAAAACATATGTTTCTATGTGGTTACAAACATCCTAGCTCTAGTAATGCTGTACACTTCAGATATTGCATTTGGGTTTTTGTATGAGCTGATGTGCTTCAATTAACATTCAATTCAAAAAACAATTAATATTACTATGGTGGGTCACCACCATAGTAATATTAATTGTTAATTAGTTTGATTACATTTTTATATTAGAAGTTTATCTTTGGTATATGGCCACAAATAAAGCACTTGTACCATTGTGTACCATATTTGGAACACAGGCACTTTTTTTGATGATACAAATTGTATATAAATATAAGGTGAAGTAGCCTGGATGCATTCATATTAATAAAAAAAAATTATTGTTAAGAAGATTCATTAAAAACAAATTAAATAAGAAATCATAAAATTATATAATTTTCAACAAAAGTTAAGTACTGCTTTTAAAACTAGTTGTTTTCATATCAAGTTAAGTTTAATATCAAATAATAATTTTTGAAAATTTTTTTTTAAGAGTAATGCAAATAACAAAAAAGTAAGCATAAAAATTAGTGAACAAGTTTCGTTCATTTCTCTTGTAATGAAGTATATTCATTGTTATATTCAGATGATGTAAACCCCTCTTTTTCAATCATTTATCAAGTCACTGGGTTATTTTTTATTTTTGTACTATAAAATAATGTGATATCTATTTATGGTATCTAGGTATCTAATTTCTATTAAAGGTGTTATCCAAAGAAACATAAATGATGATATAGTTTTTCCACTAACTTTTGGCCAAAAGATGGAGATCTAATCACCTAACTTTATTATGAACATTAGCCCAAAATAATCCAAAACTCTACTGTATTTACTATTTATACTTATAATAAGTAATGAAAGCATATCTATTATCAAAATATTATGATAGTGAAATTTAGAATGTAATAATAAATTGTCATATACTATACCATGTATGGACACAAAATCTGTTATAATTGAACTTGTCATAAATATCATCATTCTACTCTAAAACCAATTTTAAAGGCACAACCTCTAACAAATAGCCTATGCTACTCGGGGAAAACTAAAGAAGCTTTTTGTGTGGCAAGCATGTTAAGTTAATTAGAGTTGTAATAAGCAATATTTAAATCCATTAATTGTTTAACATTAAGAATTTTAATGTAATGATTTAATATTCTTGTATACTCTGTTCTATTCTTTTTGAAAAATAGTTTATTACATTGAAAAATATATTAATATAATTTTAACTAAATCTATGAAGATTATTAAATTTTAAGAAAATTTTCTTGGTATTTTAATTCATAATTATTTTGTATTTTTAGTCCTCACAGTGCCTTGTACACAATGATGAAAGACCAATATGCTAACTATGTTGTTCAAAAAATGATTGAAGTAGCCGAACCGCCACAGAGAAAATTGCTGCTAAATAAGATCCGTCCACATATCCCTGCCCTACGCAAATACACTTATGGAAAGCATATCCTGGCTAAACTGGAAAAGAATATAATGAAGAACAGTGATCATGGACCAACTCCAAACGGAGTTATTTAGAGTAATCATAAACTGTTCAGACCAGTATTTACATTCAAAAATATCAATATAATATTAATAACATTTAAACAAAGTGTAGGAAGTGAAGAATTTTTAATTGTCTCAATGGTATGTGATTTAGACATCTGTTAATATTTGGAGTGGTGAATGTTGTAGTTTGTGTATTAGAAAGAATTGACTAAAGATCGAGTATATAGGAACAAATTATCTATTGTTCGTCCGTTTACTTAATGTTCGGCCGTAATCTGTAAATTAAACTTCCAACTAAAATAATCTCAAAATAATATCAAAATTTAAATTAATTGTGGGTCAGCATAGATTTGTTTTTGGAAGAAACTTTGAAAAGCCAGAGTTATATTAATGAACAAAAATTAATAATTCTTTCTATCACAATGAGGAGTTCCTACCTCTGCTAGGAACAGGGTTTAAAAAAATGGGGGAAAACAAATTGTATAAAATCATCTTCATAAAAATTGTAGTAATTTGTTTTTGAATCAATTTGTATACTCTATTAATTTATCAACATCATTTTTTAATTATTATTATTACAAACATTTTGTATTTGAGAGTCTCATCAAGTTCCTAATTACTCTGTCATTCAAGCTTACAGCATGGGTAGTCTAATTAAACAGTAGTATTTCTGCTTCACAAAGTCCCAATATTTATATGTAATTTTGGTGCTAACGAACATTTGGATATATATATGGCTACTTTTGATATGCGAACAATAATTACAAGATAATTAGATATAATGTGTTGTAGTTGATCATATAAAACAAAACACCACCTAATTCAGGCAATATTATCTTAATTTACTCTCGAAAATTTTTTGTTGCCAGTATAAATAATCAACCATGTATTATAGAATTTGTATATCTATATAAAATAATTCTCATATCACCATTAATAAAGAATTTTAAAAAATAAACACAAGAATCAGTTTCCAGAATGCTTCTAGAAACATGATTTGTGCCAATAATTGCACCAAGAGGCTCAAATAGTAAGATATTGAGGAACAGGTGTGATTTCACAACAGGAAAAAAATTGCTCATGGTTCCCAGACTAGTGGTATCTGCTACTGTGATCCAGATTAATGATGCCTTGATCTTGACATTATCAGCCCTCATGTTCCAAAACTGTACAGAATAACCAGCTTAACATTTACTTGCTGTATGAATGACTGAAGTGATGGAGTATTTGCAATACAACTTGTACATGACAAATGTTTTTATAAATATATTTCACAGAACTGACTTTGTAAAGTCATACAAAAGAAAAATAAAAAAGACAACATCAATTTTAAAAAAAAATGCATTTTTAGTTGATGTAATAATTTTATTATAAAATAATAAAAGGCGATGGTGGGTCAGTCTGTTGTCGCCATTGATGTTTTCTAACTGCAAAGAAACGGCAGAATTTAAGCCCCACTTTAGGAATAATTGTGTGTTTATTGTATTGATTTATAAGGTTAAAGAGGAACCATTAATTTATGTTCATACCGCTTGTAAAAACATGCATTTTTATTCTATGAAATTCGTTGTCTTAAATTGTTTCTAAATTTTCATATAAAAAGAAAACAATTTTAACATGCTTCTAACTGCATATATCTAAGAGAAAATAAGGAAAGTTTGTAATTAACAGTGGGTCTAGTGTTATCGAAGTGTGTGCTTGTTTGTCTCTTTGTGTCATTTAAATATGTTGCAAATACATTGGATAAAAAAAAAGTATAGCATTTAGAAATTTGTACAAAAATTTGTTTCTTAAATTAAATTGGTGTTGTGAGACATTCTATGGTGATAGTTTAAATAATTGAATCTGCTGTCCTTATATACCATTTTTCTCTCATAAAAAATAGATTAGTGCTTTACAAATTTTATTTGGATATAGGCTTCTTTTATCAATGCCTATATATTACAGACTTATATATTTCTAATTATAAAATATACCGAAGCTCGTTTTATTTCAAATGCGAAGCTCCTCCCTAGTCCAATTTCCGAGATGACGACCTAAAAAATAAAAGAAAATAGTACAGATGTGAACGTGTTGTGCTGTATTAATGCTGTACCCTTAGGTGTTTTTTGCTCTGGATTTCAGTTCTATATAAAAAAAATTATATATATATATATATAATCATTTGTTAAGGCTATTTAGTTTCTATTGGTTTTTAGTCATTCTGATTTACAGATTAGTCATTTGTATTGAAGCATACCATGTTTAAAATTTTTTTTTTTATAAATATTATATATACATATATATATAACTATATAAATAATTGTCAGTTTTATTTATCCAGAAAAGCAGCATAATTCTTTTTTTTCCCATACTAAACTAATTTCCCTCCTCACTGTTGCTCTCTCTCTATCTCTCTCTCTGCTAAAATTTTGATGATATTTACTAGTGATAGGATTTGTTACACGCTGAATTTCTAAATTCACTTTTTTGCTCTTTTTGTATCATATATAATAATGGTGTCCACCTGTATCAGGTTTTTATTGTAAATGGTAAAAATGTGATCAGAAAATAGATTAGATTTACAATGGAAAAACAATAAAAAAAAATTATTTAACATTTCACTGTCTGAGTTTTTTGAAATTTTTAAGTGCTTCCTTTTTCTTTATCTGTTGTAACAAAGCTGTGTACAGATTGTAAATTTGTAAATTGCTGAATCCATGCTGCTGTTTCTGTCATGTACAGATCACTTGTGTTCAGCATGTAGCATTCAATGAGAACTTGTACATTTTTCAACACTTTTAACGCCATATTGTAAATGTTGTCATCTCTCTCTGCACAGTGTCGGTTACTGTTACCATTTATTGTAGAAAGGTGTCAGAAATTTGAACATTATGTAAAAAATACCAATAGCTTTATAAGATGTCTTTTCAGAAATTGTATCCACATTTATTATTATTATTATTATTATATTATTATTATTATAATTATTATTATTATTATTATCATCATTGACAAGAAACTTGAAATTGTAAAGCCAATGGACTCTTATTAATCTTTAAGTACTTTGAATTTACACAGTGAAATATTTTCTACAGTTTAATTTTTTTGGCCTTATGAAATGAGTTTCTTGTTATTGCTTATCAACTGTTTTGTAATTGAAAACTAAAACTTTGAAGTCAAAGATTAAAAAGTGCATTAATTAAAATTTCGATATACCTTAGGACTTTTAAAAAAAATCACGTTTAGGAAAGGGGAAAAACAAAAATAAAACCTAATGAATAATTAAAAAACTTCAGCATTATTTGCTGATTTTCCTTATATAACAGTTGATAAGTTTCTTATGGCTTGTAATATTTGTAGCATAGACTGCCATGTAGTAATTTTTGAGGTAATGTGTACATGTTGTACCATACTAGATGTGTCTTGATAGTGTAAAATAAACAGTTTTTCAGTATTTCAATAAATTTGTATGATGTTGTATATTGAGTTAAAATTTTTGTAAACTTCACAATTAACATCCAATTTACTTTTATCTCAGTCATTTTTACTAATATGTAATGTCATCTGTAGATTACTTAAATATACATTTTGAATGAAAAAGAAAAGGGTAACAAAGTCTTTTCTCATGTGTAACGATTAATGTTTTTACTATTTAAAAAAGCAATAAGCAATATGCAAAGAAATATTTGAATCATAATCACTTCAATAAAATTGGTTTTAAATTGAAAAAGGTGGCTTTGCCTCACTGATCAGTTTAAAGAGATCATATATTTTATATTACCTTGGAATTGTGGCTATTAATTTCTTTATAAAGTTAATAGCTGTTATCTAACGAATTATTATATAAATCAATAAATGAAAAATTATAATCTTCGAAACACAGTACAGGTATATGATTTTATTTGGTATTTGATCAAGTCCTGTGATGTGTTTTTTTATTTAAATGTATAGTTTTGCAGAATTACGTTATTTTGCTGATGTAGTATACTTTCTTGTTTTAACGTGTTCTCAATAACTTGAAATAGATTTATACTATATATTTTATTTTATAAACGGAACCAAATTAATTATTGATGTGAAAATTTACATATAACATATATAAAAAATAACATTTTAGCTCTAAAATTTGTTGCTGCAATAATAATAATAATAATTCATTAGTTTTGTGTTATATGAATTTAAATATGGTAAACATCTTGAACGAATTCAACTTATGGCTTCTATGAAAACAATTGTTAACCCCCTCAGGTAAATTAAAATATTACCTACAATACATTAAAAATATTAGTGTAATTACAAAATTACTTTTATTCAATTCTATATTTACAGAAAAACAAGAAATAAATCTAGGGGACAAGGGTGATTAGTTGTCCTAGATCAATGTTTCTCAAAGTGGTTCCTGGGGGTGCATGGAAAACATCAGGGATCTGCAAAAGGTTTAATAAAAAGTGAATTGATTGTATCCCATTTTCATTATTATGAAAATTAAATAAAAAATAAATTGGTAGTCATTTTTATGTTTTAAGTAAAATATAAGTGTAGATAAGTACTCTACATAAAATACAAATAATGAGAGGCATTTCATGTTGGAATACCAGGTAAAGCTTGCTCAGTTTGAAAATGGGCTATGCGCTTTATTTATTTCGTACATTATGGCATTTTAGAATTTCATACATTTATTTACTTTTTCTTTCCAAAACAGTGATAATTATTGGTTGTTTTTTATAATTATAAAAACGATTTAATGACTATATGAAAATTCAATAGATAAAATTTTAAAAACTTACTAATTTTATATTTTTGTAATGTAATTTATAACCCAATTTGAAATAAATTATACATTTTTTTCACGCAATTATACTCATTTTTCAAATCGGGCAAGCTTTAGCTAGTAATTTCAATGAATATTACTTTAAATATCAAAATTATTTATTTATTTTTTTTATGCCCCTATTCAAGACATCAAAGTTAAATTTATAATTTTGCTATTACTGTATGTAGCTATATAGAGTTACAGTATTTCACTTGGGGCTTCATGGTCAGGTTTTTGCTATGAGGAGGAGTCCGTGGTTATAACTTTGGAAACCTTGACCTAGATCATATTGATGCATTGGCAAAGAAAAAGAAGTAATGAAATAGCACGAGTCCCTCCACCTTTAAGCAAAAAGCATTTAACACATTCATAACATTTAGCATTTTTTGACAGTCATTTAACGAAAAACATTCTTTATTAGTACTTTTGGAAGCTAATAAAAAACCGTTAATAATTTCCATTGAGAGTTTATTACGAATGCTCATTTTAATAAGTTAATTTTAGAAAATTTTCTCAGTAAACATTGGACAGCAGTAATACGAATAAGTTTAAATTTCAAAGTCTCCGTCATATCAGCAAGTTTTGAAAGTTTACCGGTATTTCATTGTTTTATATACCACTGGTAATTAGAGAGTCAAGGTAAATACCTTGACTCTCTAATTACCAGTGGTATATAAAACAATGAACTATGTACTGTACAGTACAATTAACTTCATTGGACATCAATAGATTATAGTAATTCATAGTGTTTTGGTCCAAAATTCTAGACAGTTTACTCAGTAAACGATGAACAGAATTCGTTTTCTTTTTTGAAAATGTCAAATTAGATATAAGCACGGAAGAAGGCGCAGATTTAGAAAAGTATAATTTAAAAATAAACTAGGAGAATTCATCCCTGACTGAAGCGAAGTGACAGCTTGTGAACTCACCTTAGATCAGTGATTCTCAGCCTTTTTTGTTGATGTACCCCAAGTAATATTAATATAGCCTGATGTAATCTGGCAATCATTTGGCTGTATTTAAAAATTTATACAAATATAAACATCTGTAAGCCCAATAGTTTTATTAAAGCTAAATGAATGTTGGATTAGATCAAGCTACATTACTATTACTATTAATAATTAAATGCTCAGTACTTAGTATTTAATTATTAATAGTAGCAATAATATAGCCTGATTTAANATCATATAAATTGTCAAAAATATTTACTGCAAACGAGAGTGGCAAAGTAGGATTTTGTAAGGATTGACTACTTGCATTTATTCTGGAAAGAATTTTATCCCAAATAACTGTTAACAAAATGAATTTTAAAGTATTCATTTTGTTTGCTATTTTTCGTGATTCTTCTTTAACAGAACATTTCTGAGATTCGTCTAAAGATATTTCAAGAAGAGCAGTTTTTATTTGGTCAAACCCAAAGCGAATTGCCTTAACTGCATCAGCTCTACAAGACCATCTCCTAGTACATAACTTTTTTACTGTAAAATGTTTATTATTTGCGGCAAAACTTTTTTCTAAAATGTTCCACCTATACGTAGAAGCCGAAAAAAAGGTATAAATTATTTCCAGTAAATTAAAATATTTTATTGCCTGCAAGCATGATTCACTAGCACTATTTATNTTTTGTTTATTTGTTTATTATATACAGTTGGCCAACAGAAAAGTAAACTATCTTATTTACAAATCTTTTCAAAATAGACAGTTTGACCGGGCCCCTCAAAAATCCGGGCCCTAGACATTTGTCTCATTTGTCTATTCGATGATCCGGCCCTGTATTCAAGACATCAAAGTTAAATTTATAATTTTGCTATTACTGTATGTAGCTATATAGAGTTACAGTATTTCACTTGGGGCTTCATGGTCAGGTTTTTGCTATGAGGAGGAGTCCGTGGTTATAACTTTGGAAACCTTGACCTAGATCATATTGATGCATTGGCAAAGAAAAAGAAGTAATGAAATAGCACGAGTCCCTCCACCATTAAGCAAACAAAACTATACAAAAAGCATTTAAAACAAATTCATAACATTTAGCATTTTTTGACAGTCATTTAACGAAAAACATTCTTTATTAGTACTTTTGGAAGCTAATAAAAAACCGTTAATAATTTCCATTGAGAGTTTATTACGAATGCTCCTTTTAATAAGTTAATTTTAGAAAACTTTCTCACAAAACATTGGACAGCAGTAATACCAATAAGTCTAAATTTCAAAGTCTCCGTCATATCAGCAAGTTTTGAAAGTTTGTACCGGTATTTCATTGTTTTATATACCACTGGTAATTAGAGGGTCAAGGTAAATACCTTGACTCCCTATGTACTGTACAGTACAATTAACTTCATTGGGCATCAATAGATTATAGTAATTCATAGTGTTTTGGTCCAAAATTCTAGACAGTTTACTCAGTAAACGATGGACAGAATTCATTTTCTTTTTCGAAAATGTCAAATTAGATATAAGCACGGAAGAAGGCGCAGATTTAGAAAAGTATAATTTAAAAATAAACTAGGAGAATTCATCTCTGACTGAAGCGAAGTGACAGCTTGTGAACTCACCTTAGATCAGTGGTTCTCAGCCTTTTTTGTTGATGTACCCCATTAGCCCATTAGTTGTTTCTCAAGTACCCTTTATATTTTTGTATGTAAATTTATAATTACTGCATTAGATGTATACAGTCCTTATAACTGAGCACCATAAAAAAAACTAACTATAACTAAAAGCGAATTACTTAATTTACATAAATAATAATAAATTTAATCAGGTACATACATTTATTTATTATTATTTGATAAGTATATTATATAAAATCACAGAAGTCATTTCAATACATGCATAAATTATATTTCCTAAAAATAAATAATTATAATTAAAGAAAACTTTAATTATTCTACAATAATTTCTAACAAAATTTAATGGGATATTTGTTGCGATAAATCTTCAGCAATTTTTTCAAAATTTGATTCCCAC